AGGACAATCATTCCCAGTGGAGAAAACAGCAGCAGCAGCAAAAGCAGACCAACAAAGAAGAAAGCAATACAGGATTAAAAGAGTTTGTAAAAGAGCCTTTGAAACAATATTGGAAAGTGCTGCAAGGGAATATGGAGCTCCTCGAATGGTAAGGTAGTGAACATGAACTTGATGATTTTTGCTTAAATAAATTATGCTTATTTTTAATAACATGATTGAGGTATAATTGATATACAAAGAACTGCACATATTTAATGTCCTATGAGCTTGAACATGTGCAAACACCTGTCATGCTATCACTACAATCCAGGCAACAGACATATCCAAAGAATGTATGGGACAAGGTAGCTGATGACAGATTAAACAACATGGATTTAATCCTATAGGCAACTTGAAATAATTATTAAGATTTTCAGCAGGGGTCTAAGATATGAACTGCTGTTTAACCCATCATCACCTCCTTTGTCCCGCACATCTCCCTTCTCTTGATGCTGTCTTCTCACACAAATCATTTTGTGTTCTTGTCTCTTTAAAATGCCATGTGCTCCACGCACTTGAGAATTATTATTATTTTAATTCTGTTTTGTAAGACTTCTTAAGGCTGGACTCAGAGAAGGTTGAGGTTGCTGATCTTCCTCCATGACTTTATCTTAGACACATCCATCAGTAGTACCACTTCTGAATGCTACTCGGAGCATACAGCCTGGATATCAGCAGGATGAATCTACTTAATTCTGCTGTTATACTGTCGCATGTGGCCAGAAACCACAGGCTTTTAGGGAGAAAATTGTTAAATTTCACTCCATTTTTCCTTTTATGATAGTATATGAGTTTTTTTTACAGAGCTGGTTTGTGTCTTTAATATATGGAGAGAAACTAGAAGCAGGAAAGTACTGCTTTTCCATTTCTGTTACCATTTAGGCAATGAGAAGTATCATTCACAATTCCAATTTTAATTAAGGCGGTGATTCATGACCCAAAGAGGCAGAAACAGGACTCTCTCGGTCCCTTTGACAGAGCACAATACAGAGAAACTCACAATTGACTGAGCTGAGGGACCTGTTTTGAAATTCAAAGGAATAAAAAGCTTCCCGGTGATGTAAAGATCAGAGTTTCTTACCTCTCTGGGGAGCAAATGTTAGCAGGGGGGCTGCAAAGTTAATTACTTAAGGAGGACAGGAGACACAGGTTGTGAGTTGTGGGGAGCAAGAGCAGCAGAAACATGAAGGGGAATAAAACCCTAGGTCCCAACAGAAAAAAGAGAAAAACTGAAGTTGTAGCAAGACAGGTACATGGGTAGGGGGGTTGAAGATATATGTATGTAGTAAGGATAAAATCAACACATATCATTGATAGAAAGTATGAAAATCATAAAAATATATGAAAGTATAAAAAATATTACCCTTAACTCAACTTGCAAGCATGATTACTCCGGACATTTTCACATGTTTATTTCTAGGCTTTTGTTTTTTTTTTTTCTACTTTGGAAAACAGAGTTAAGACTATACGGTGTATTATATATTAATCATGCCCCCTCATAAAACATTATATAAAATACACATTTTGCATGTCATTAAAATTTGGAGAAAAATATTTGAAACTAAAAATAGTATGAAAAAGCAAACCAACATAGTTCATAGTTAGCTTAGCTTTCCTTAATAAGGCTATTTGCTATCCATTCTTAAACTTTCCACAATGGAGATGTCAGTCTATCAAAATGCTTCCTTTTACCACATCACAGAATTATTTTGAGTTAAAAAAGAGGGCTTTTGCTCAAACTCCTCTTTCTACACTTCCAAAACGTACTTTCTTTCTTTACACACACACACACACACACACACACACACACACACACACACACACACAGAGGAATCTTTTTCTTCTCTTTGCACTGTCTTCCCATAAAGCAGATGGTGCTTCAAATTTCCTCGGCCCCTCACAAAGCTGTTCCTCTAGCAACCTCCCCTAAAAGACTGATTTTAAAACAAGCAAAGATGTTCTTTGAATCCCCTGCTAGTCAATCTGGCAGTCCAACCTAAAATGTTTCTAATTTTAAGAAAAGTAATTAACTTTACGACAAGATAGTTTAATCATAGCTGCAGCAAGGAGGTTAGGGTGCAAGGGTGTTAGAAATAATAATAAACATTCTTTCCTTGGGAAAAAATCCAATGAGGTTCAAAATCTCAACTCATTTCTAGTTCTGGCAGATACATATTTGCCTCCTGCTGGGTTTTGGATCAGGGAGTAGGTTGGAGAATCAGAGATCAACAGAAAAAGATCTTAGGAAGGTAAAGGTGATACCTGTATCTGGAAGTATGGAGTAGAGGGACTTTAATTCTTTTTGTTTGTTTGTTTTGGATGGAGTCTCCATCTGTTGCCCAGGCTAGAGTGCAGTGGTGCGATCTCGGCTCACTGCAAGCTCCACCTCCCAGGTTCAAACCATTCTCCTGCCTCAGCCTCTGGAGTAGCTGGGGCTACAGGCGCCTGCCAGCATGCCTGGCAAGGGGACTTTAATTCTTTTAACTAGTCCTGCTGACCAGGGATTGAATTAAAGTTTAAATTTCAAAAATATTTGTGATTATAAAACCGGTGATTTAAAAGGGTTTTAAAAATTTAAATGAGATCTACAGGGGTCATAATTATAACAGTGACTAGTATGTATTAGGTGTTAGTTTTCTGCCATTCTTAAATTCATTGTCTAATCCTCACCTAGGAGAACTGGGTTGCGTTAGAATCAATGAGTTGGTTCACATCAGAATGATCTGTAAGTTGAGTTCTATCAGAATTTTAACTCTGTATGAACAAAATTAAAAAAAATCCTCAAGCAAGACATTTATTCTTCTTGGTTTCAGTGCCCTCATCTATACAATATCTGTATTAAAAGCCCTTGTGGAGATAGTCTCTGAGCTCTGTTTTAGATCTTCATTTGGAAGTGAACTCACACTGAGTCCATTGTCTGTAACCAAGTATTTCTTCAATGCCTGCATACTGAGCTCTTACTGAATGCTCAGCATTTCTTTCTGGAAAGACCATTATGATACATTAAAGAACGTAGCACATTGTTTGCTATTCCTCCCACTGAGAGTAGAATCCAATTTCGCTCTTTTTGCTTCAGATGACTTTAGGACCAGTTACTGAACAATCAAGAGAGACTCTGAGAGATAACCGCCTGACTGAACCTAGCCAACCTGTAAAATCCATAAGTAATAGTAATAAATTGCAGTTTACAGGTTAGTTTCAGGGTGGTTTGTTATGCATCCATACATCATTGGGGCATCTGCTTGTTCAAAGCTATATTCCCCTCACTCTTTTGTATCATGCACCACAGGTGAATCAAACAGTATACAATAATAGCTCAATATTTTTGAGGTATCGAATGTTTGGAAATTTCTGCATATTTTTCATCTGCTTTTATTTGGATTATTCACCTGATTCTGAGTTGATCCCATAAAACTTCGAAACTCAGGAAGCAATGGACTCTTGCGATGTGTCTGTTCAATAACATCCTACATCTTCCAGGAAGAACTTAGGGCTTTGAATCAGGGAGCAGGGATAGATGGAGGAAAGGAGATCCTACTGAAAAATGTGTTCAGCTAGCTCCTGGTCACATTTTGGCCACTGCAGTTTGGCCTTTCAAAAGTTACTTCACTTATAAGTGGGAGCTGAATGATGACAACACATGGACACAATGGGGAAACAACACACACTGGGGCCTGTTGGAGGGGGAGGGAGAGCATTAAAAAGAATAGCTAGTGGATGCTGGGCTTAATACCTGGGTGATGGGGTGATCTGTGCAGCAAACCACCGTGACACACGTTTACCTGTGTAACAAACCTGCACATCCTGCACATGTACCCCGGAACTTAAAAAAATTGGTGAAGTAAATAAATAAATAATACAATAAAATTTCTCAAACTAAACAAAGAGAGTTACTTCACTTCTTTGGATATCAGGTGCCTTCTCTTTCAAATAAGGTGTTGATTTATGTGGTCTTGAGAACTCTTTGTTGCGCTGATCTTAAGTTTCTTTTTATAATATTAGAATCATATTTTACCTACATTATAGGGCTTTATGAAGATTAAATCGAGCATCGTGGGTAGTGTTTTTCCAGCCCCTGTGACTAAGTAGGTAATAAATGGTCCTCAATCATCATCATCATCATAGATAATTCAAGGCCTGAATGGCAGAAGCAGAAGAGGAACACTCAAGTGAAAAGTGCTAGACACAGAACACAGCTTACCTAATTAAACACGCTGCTGGCTAAGCTGGGGTGGCTTTCTGCCCCCGCTACTTAAGAGAGAAAAATAGAAACGTCTCTGCATCTGCCACTGCATACCCTCTCAGAGCACAGACCAACTTTGCCCTTCCTTAAAAGTCCCAGGGTTTACCTACCAACTTTTAGGAAATAAATAACCAGCCTCAAAGCTTGATAAAGAGGGCATCAGTAGCAGCTCTAGAGGTTTGCTCTGATTTATATCTCATCCTCCAGTAAAGTCCTCTGCTCCCACTCCTAGCCAACCCCGCTCAACGCCCACCCTCACTGCGGCACTGGACGCGCGGGGGATGCGGGGTTATTCCCCGAGTAGCCGCTAAGGGGAGCCGGACGCTAGACCGCCCTCCCGCGTTCCCATGGCAACGACACCGGCGGGCGCGTAGCCTGGGGAGCGAAGTGCCGGCTAAAGCAGGTGTCGGATTGCAGCGCGCTCGCCGAGGCTCCGGACCTTGGAGCCTCTGAGTCTGGCTACTGTTCCTCCGCCTCCCTCTCGGGCAGCTCCCTAAGCCGGCTGGGACGCGCAGAGTGAAAATGGTCCACCATTCAGGCTCCATTCAGTCTTTTAAACAGCAGAAAGGTCAGTTGGAATCTTGCTCCCCTCTCCCTGCGGGCGTCACTTCCCCCTCTGCATGCCCTTGCAGTTGTGTAGGAGCATCCTTTGCAGGCTTATGCGACACAGAGGTGGGGAACTCTGTGAAGTTCAAAAAAAAAAAAAAAAATTAAATACCTCTTCACTCTGCATCCTAGATGAGTGATTTTCTGAGCCTCCGCACAGTGCCTGGGAGTAGCGGAATTCGTCATTTCAGGACTTGACTTAATGTATATCTCTGTGAAGATTGTTTCAATGCACTGCAGTAAACCCCGCTTAGTAGGGATTGTCCAAATAGCTCAGTAGAGCTCTGAGGGGTGAGGACAGAAATGTTCAACAGTATTTGCCGTCTTCTGTGGTTCAAATGTTGAGTAATCTTCACAAAAGTGTGTCTACTCCTTGAGACGCATTTACACAATCATAAGATAAATGAATTCTTGGGAGAGTTCCAGAGCTGGCCTGTTGCAGTTAAAGGGGCTCTGTCACTTCCTTGGGAAAATTTATTGTTTGCCCATGTTCCATGCTTGATTCTGGGTTTCAAGTTCTTGATGTTAGATTTCTCTTCTAGGGGCTTCGTATTATGTCTTTTAGCTTCTCCCTCAAGTTTCTTGCTGGGCATAGTGACAAGAATCTGTATGTTCAAGTTATCCTCACTCTTTGATCTTTGTTTCTTAATTTGGTTTAAAAGGCTTTTTACGGAGCATTTTTATTTTGAGGCACATTCACGGTTTTTGGAGTTTTATTATCCAGAAGCAATAACTAACACAATTGCAACTTTGCTGAATTAATAATGACAATAATGATACAGTTAACCATAGAGTGCCTAAGATGTGTGGATTCTGGAATGCTGAATTTGTTCATTCAAAGTAAATATTTACTTAAATATTCTCATCCCCCACCCTCCAGATATTATTTGTATTTCTTTCGTCGTTTTTTGTAGGGCTTTTTTTTTTTTTTTTTTTGAGATAGATTCTCGCTCTGTCTCCCACTCTGGAGTGCAGTGGCAGGATCTCTGCTCACTGCAAGCTCCTCCTCCCAGGTTCACACTATTCTCCTGCCTCAGCCTCCTGAGTAGCTGGGACTACAGGCGCCCGCCACCACGCCCAGCTAATTTTTTTTTTTGTATTTTTAGTAGAGACTGGGTTTCACAGTGTTAGCCAGGATGGTCTCGATTCCCTGATCTCGTGATCCGCCCGCCTCGGCCTCTCAAAGTGCTGGGATTACAGGCGTGAGCCACCACGCCTGGCCCTTGATTTTTTTTTTTTTTTAAAACAAAAACTAGATTAGCACACAAGAAATAATTTCGAAGGGATTCCTGCATAAGACAGAATATGGGACTGACTGAGTTTCCAGAACCATTATTCTGTACTCAGTTCAAGCCCAAGTTCTCTAGGATGTTTCAAACATATGTTGAAATTGGGAGTGATGTGTGAGACTGTGGGGGTAGACAAAAATTTCAGCTAGTATGCACTTCTACTTCAACTCTAAACGTTTCAAAGAAAGTTAAACTGCTTCAAGAAGTTGTGTTCTCTTTCATCATGGTTTTAAACATATATAAACTTTTAGAATGAAGACAAAGATGGTAGGAACTTTGCAACGGCCTCACAGAATGAGTACCTCCTCTGATGCATTGGCTATGGGTGACTCATTTCTGGGATCTGGAAGCTTCAAATGACCCCCACAACAATGTATTATGTATGGATACATGTTGTGCTTTTAAGAAGGAAATAATTGCCAACTGTAGGACCGACTGTTATTGCTCAAAGTGAGTGATAAGAAATTGTGCAATTGCTGGCATTTCATATTGTTTCCTTTATGATGCATTATGAGCCATTTAGTTTCAAGTAAGTATAGTATTTACTGTTTGGCACAAAAGGCAACTTCAGCAAATGGATACAAATCTAGAGGAGGAGTACTCCAGTAGGAAGGAAGCAAGATTCATTTTAACTAAGTGGTTCTGGTTAATGGCTTCTTAATCCTGCATGGACATTAGGAAAAAAACAGACCAAATTGAGGATTAGCTATTTTTATTCTTCAGATAGGAAGAAGCAAAATAATTCTCTAGATGTTATCTGTCCCAGGAGGTATGCAACAGCAACAACAACAAAACATTCAGATGTGCTTTTCACCATAAAATTAACCTGGAAATTGCACATTAAAATGGAGAAAATTCTCTGGTGGAACTCTGTACTCCTAGGTTCTAAGCTTGCCTTTGTTACTAGCTGAGAAATCTTCAACAACGTGGTTCATTTCTTTGGACTTTGCTTCATATATAGGATGAACAGAATACATTCCTAATCCCTTTGGCCTTTTCTATCTCTCTTCCTCTCTTTAATGGGAGGGACAATTTGCATGTGAAGGCAGAGATGATTTCTTCCAGGACCAGATAAAGAAGAGAGCCTTGCTTTTAGTTTACTTTTACAAATTGATTTAGCTGAAAAATCCAGTTGATGGAATTTACTTTTGTTTTAATCTAGTGAGCTCAATGTCTCTTTTAAAAATTTTGATTTCAACTTTAAAATACCTAGATATATCCAGAAATCACCCTTATTATATTATTTTAAAAGGTTACACCCTTAATTGAAAAACAGACACACTCAATCAATAAACTCTACAAAAGGCATAGGGATTCTCCTTTATATTTGAGAGCTATGTATTAACCAATCCCCGATCAAAATTTGTTTTGATAGGTAAGTATAAGTATAGTATAAATAAGTATAGATGCCAGACTTGTTATCTGTGAAATGAAATACTGTATGTAAGTCTTAATTTATTCATTAATTTAATCTCTGGTCTTTGTTTTGAGCCCTGGATATTAATCCAATGCATTCTACTTATAGGTTATGTCATTTAATATCAACTAAGCCACAGTTACTGCTTATGTGAAATGAAGATAATTTTATCTATCTTGCAGTGTTATAAGGTGTTTAGCAGTTTGTCTGACACACAGTTGGGGCTCAAAAAATTTAGTGATTTTTCTTACTAAAATTCATCCAGGTTCATTCATCTTTGGTTGGCTCTTTAGTAGTATATTGGACTCTTAGCAGTTCCCTTATAATTTCTTGCCTTTTTTTTTTTTTTCTTTTGCATCATGCAGCTTTATTACTTTGAGATTCATCTTAAGGAAAACAGTGGACTCCAGACCATCTACGGATGGTTCTTTAAAATAGTCTGGAGTTAACAATCACAAACTCTCCGCAATTCATATGTCTATCCCTCGGGAAAACTTCCAAAGCATTCCCATAGAAATTTTTAGGTTTGCAATTAACTTTATAATCTAAAATGTTTTTGCAAGAAATGGTATTTATTCACTCTCCACTCTTAAGTACCATGCTTTTGCTGCGTGTATGCCGGGGACTGTGCTTAGTAATAGCATTATTCGGTACTCTTTTGTTGGTGAATCTGGTGCTGCCAAACCCTCCTCCTTAAAGGAATTGGTACAATAGGGAGTCTGAGAGATTTGCTAAACACTTTTATGAGAATTGCAGACAACCCTGCACTTCTGCAGGAAAACGTTGACATTTTGTTTTTTGGCAGTGCCAGTTGTGTTTATGAAGAAGATATACACATATATTTTTGAACTTTAATCCACTGTAAATTTTAGATTATCTTATTAAGAGGCTTAATAGGTTAGGAAGTAAAAAGTGAGACATCTGTGCAGTGGTGGGGAGGGGGAGGCAGTCTGCTTATTTTTGATGTCCCAAGGGTAAATTGGAGTGTATTATGGTTATAGACAACCGAGAGTGTATGTTTGCTTTTGTCTTAGCACATCTTGTAAGAACACATTAGCTGACACATCAGCAGTTTTTTCTGGGGAAAGTCCAACTTTGCTTCCTAGCCTGGCTTTCTATGTTTTGCTTGATTTATGATGAACTCATGTGTCATACAAGGGTGGGCAAGAAAAGGACAATGATAGATCTGGCTTCTGGTGGCTTCTCCTTACCAGTACAGCTACCAAGACTTTTCATAGAACAATAGATCAAATCAAACACAGCCTGTCCAAAAAGACTTGGGCTTAATGGGATCAGCAAAGGCTGTTAAGTGATTCATCATTATCCTAAAGGACATTTGGTTAAACAGAGAGTGTTTTTAGTAATTCCGCAGAAATAAGCATTTACTACTCACACAACTCATTTAATAATATTTTACGCTTATATGAGACTTACAGACCAAAGTATTTTCTTTCTCTTTTTCTCTAATTAGTTGCTATTGCAAGTGTACATCCATGAAGCCACTTGGCACAACTATCCTGCTTTGTGTCGAGTTCTGACTTCAGATTACTTAGAAGGACAATCCTGGGGAAAATATCTTGTTTCAGAATCTCTGATATCCACTGTTTTCATCTCCTTTTCTCCTAACTGACATCCTTAGAATCTAGAACCTCCCTATACCCTTATATTAGAGAAATAAGAAAAAAATCTGGAGCCATTTATACAGTGACAAAATTTCATTCACTCATTGTGCTAACTCTTCCTGGTATTTTCACAGTCTATTCTTTTATTTATGACTAAAGCTTAGGAGGCATTGTCTCTCATTAAAATAATTCTAAGTTGTATAGGAAAAATCACTGGGGGAGATATTTTAAGGTAAGGAGTGATACTTTTCTTAGGCTGGTACTGAATATCAACCTGGATCATTAGAAAGAATTGGGAGTCTAATCTAATTTAGAGCCCATTTGGTCTTCTACTCTGTCCTTTAATTTTCACCTTTCTCTTTCTTTCCTTACACAGAAGGTTTCCTAGATATTTGGAACTCCAGTTCTCCATTAACAATCCCCCAGTAAGAGTGAGCCAAACTATAAAAAGAATATAGAGATATTTCAACCCGAAAAAAAACACAAGTGTCTGGGACCGTATCTTAAAAAATCTTGCATATATACCTCAGATGGCTCAGAGGAATTACTGTGTTAATTCAAACTAAGAACAGTGCTGTTTAAAATGATGGCTTTGAATTAGCAAGAATAGTAGTATATGTTATGTGATAAATATATATCCTCTACTTAGTAAGGGAGAGAAGTGATGGAGTTTAAAATTAATTCTATCTAAAGTAATTATAATTTTAAAATGTGTTTCAAAGCTATCTAGAATTTTACTCATCTAAAATAGCACATTCCTTGATGATTCTAGAGAGCTGAAGTTTTCATTTGAATCTGGGATTTGCAATTATATTCTGCACATGAATGTTTCTGAAAATAACATATTTGGAGTTGATGATTATATAAACCAATTTATCAAAAGACAATTTAAACTCAAACCCTTAAAAAATCCAAGAAAAATTCAACCTTCTCGTCATTATTTCAATGTCTTATAAGTCTGCAGATGTTTATTAAATGTTAGCGTAAAAATTATGGCTCACTTTGGGAGGCTGAGGTGGTGAATCACTTGAGGACAGGAGTTTGAGACCATCCTGGTCAACGTGG